CTGTCTCGAGCTGCTCCTGTCATACACAGCATTTCACAAGGTTGAAACACACGCAGAACTTGCCACAGCAGGCTGGGATTATAAAACACGTCAATATGCACCTCTTCCAAATACAGCTAAATTAAGAACCCTGGGACAAGGCAAACCCACCAGGAGTAGTCTTCCTATGCTGGTTTCTTGGGCAGTGTTGGGCTGTTCCCTTGCTGGCTTACCAAAGAGCGGGAAATTCTACGGAAGAGTGTCTTTTTCCCAGCCTTTGGGTTGGGACTTCCTGCAGTGAGATGGCTAAATCTCACCTGGGCTTGTGGTCTCCTTAAAAGTCAGAGCATTGGACCATGGTCAGCATCACAGTGAGTTTGGTTTTCAACTGGCCACTACTCCACAGTCTAGTCAATTGCACTTGTTCTGGCTCTCTCGCTTCCTTATTAGCCACCCAGTGCTGTCCTCTACCCCCCAGCCCCACCCCAGGGCATCGATGGCTAATTAAATACACACCCTTGCATGAGTTAGTAGCACCCATTATTGTAGCCCAGCTTTCACTTCCCCTCCCCCATAAAATCACACACTTGAGCAGGTGACTTCCGAGGGCCTGAAAACTGTCCATCCTTTATTCTCTCCCCACCACCCACTGTCCCGACTGGGAGGTCTTGGCTCACCACACCAACCCACCTCCTAGACCCTGCTAATTGGATTAGGGGTGGACTCTGGCTTAAATTGGGCCAATCGGATTCCCTCTCTTGATATTTGATTGAGGCCCTGGAAGTCAATCAAGGGAGGCCACAAGGCAAAGCGGAATGGGGTCCGGGATCAGTGCCAGAGAAACCGGAGCCTGTGCATGCCCACCTGAGGGAGGAGCGGGACTAGGAGCCCAGCTGAGGAGACTGGCCCACCCTCAGACCAGAACGATGCAGGAGGGAGCTGAGAAGCAGGGCGAGGAGTTGCTGCAGCCCAGGGCTATGTCTTCTCTTTTGAGTGGGTTCCTGTTTCTTATAATAAAACATTCCCTGACAGAGAACACTCTCAAAAGTCGCGCCAGACTCTGGCCTTTTCTCAGTCCTCATCCTCCTTCAGCATCTGACACTGTCGCCCCCACTTTCCCGCAAACTGTGATCTGCTTAATGAGGGGCTGCAAAATCCTGTTCTCTTTTTCCTTCTCCAGTTGCTCCTCCCACCCTCCAAGGCCATTTAATGAGATCCAGGATTTGGTCTTCCAGTCTGGTCTCCTAAGAAGATTCCATCAGTTCTCATAACTTTCTCTGACAAGTCCAGGCAGAAGGCTGTAAACCTAAGGGCCAGCCCCGACTTCTCCCTCCAAACCCAACTGCATTTCGAACTCTCTGATGGATATGTTTACTTAGATAACTCACAGCCACTCAGCCTCTTGAAATGGAAATTTGTGATCTCTCCTCCTCAGGCCAACCCCTCTCTTGACTTTCCCATTTCTTTAGAGTGGGGCTGTGTTCTCTCAGTCATATACCCTGGGACCCTCAGGGTAATTCTGCACGGCTTGCTGCTGGCTTGCGTGGTAGCCCCAGCTTAACTCCCCATTGGCCGGGAGCTCCATGAGGACCCGGATTCCGAGAGTGTGCTGTACAGCTAAGCTTTCATTCCCAGGGTCTGGTACACAGGGCTGCTCAAATGTTTGCTGAGTGAACTGAAGGAATGGACAGTTATCTTCCCCCAGCGCTCTGTTTCGCTCCTCTTGTCTCTCCAATATACGCTCACCAAGCCCTCTGGATTCTTCCTTCCTAGTGTCTCCTTCATTGTCTCCTTCCTCCCCATTCCCTTTGCTTCTGGGCCAGTCCCTGATCACTGCCCATGAGAGCTATGCAGAGGGGAACTGGTTTTCCTGATTGCAATGAAAAACCTGACAAATGGAATTCTGGGAAGATGGCGGTAGCGGAGTTCTTACATCCCCCCAAATCCCCTCATGTAAACAGACAGAGCGACCAGATAGAAAAACCGAAAACCTATGCACATTTACGACAGGACTAGATAATATGATTTCCCCTGAAGCTCAACCACCAACAGCCATAGATCCATCTGGTATTGGCTTCTGTGCAGGAAGCAACAGGTACTCTCATCTGGTTCCAAGAGCAGGAAAACCCCAAATAACCAACAGGTATTCACGAGGAAGGGCTCCGGGCTAATTTGGAAGCTGCGGCTAAAACTGGGTGGAGTTTTTGCCTCCAATACACACACAGACGCAGACGTTACACACTGGATTGTAAGGGCTGTACGTGGGACAAAGAATTTCAGTCTGTGCATTTCTGTTTCATAGAACATGCTATGAAATAGGACACACACACAGAAACACTCACACTCCAGTGCATGTAACGGAGCTGCAGGATCCTCTCGGGAGACATAGGATTCGGCCTTCCTTCACTGAGACCTGATGATTCGGCTATAACCGACACCAAGTCAAACTCAGAAACACACGGTTTTTGTTGCGCTGCCATGGCCACTCAAGCTGGCAGCCACGGTTTCGGAAACAGACTGAAAAGGTCCCTGTGTGACTCTGGAGAAATGCTGTGCAAACATGTCAAAGTCAACACCATCGGGAGTTCAAATATAACTGTGTTCCATAAAGTCTTGATGAATTAGGGTCTTAGGGGGCGGTCTTAAATCAGCGTTTCACAGAATCACAAATACTTGAAAATCTAATTTGCGATGAGCAGAATCATAACAGAGACTAGAGAAATGTCAATAATCATCTAGCCAAACCCTTATTTTATAAACGAATGGACCAAGGTCTAGATTGATGGGGCCATATCCTACCAAAAGTAGCCGGTAACTTACTGGA